GTAGAACCGCCCGCTCCCGCTGCGGTGTCGCTTAGATGTCCTTCTCCTCCTTGGGAGGAATTTGACGCCTCCCCCCTGTCGTGTTCCTCTCCTGCTCCGTTCCGCAGTCTCTTCCGACCTGCTGTTCCTTCACTGCTGCTTTCCGTTGGACTTTCACTATCTTGTCGTGATATTAACTCAAATCCCTTTCCGTGCCCCCTGTCTTCATATACACATATGCATGGACCCTTCTGTTGAGGCTTGCAATATATAGCCTGTCCTGGACCTGGCTCCTTAATTCTGTTAAATAAACTATTCAATCCCGACAGTGGACAGTCTGGACATAATTTACTTATTGCTTCAGCTACACTCACTATTACACTTAATGCCTCCAATTGGCAGTGTTCGAAGTTGTCGTCGGCCTGACAAGTCTTCTGATAGGTTCTCTTGATTCTCCACCCGTCGTGAGCCTTGAAGAGCTCAGTCTCGCCCGTCCCGAATATCCTCTCTTGGAGCCGGTCACAGGAGCTCCACGCCTTCGTATTGGCTATTATTAATCTTCCATCATCCTTCCATAACCAGTAGACTATGCAACCAATCAAAGATATCATCTTCTGGCAGCTACCATTGGCATCGCACTGGACCTCTTCGTTTCCTCCCATCAGCCCCTTCCAAAGTCTTCTCTCCGCTGCTGTTAAATACTCATCTTCGGTCGCATCATTCTTCTTGTCTTCGGGTTGTGAGATACAGGACTTTATAATATCATTCAACACATCTTCCCATTGGACTTGGCTGTTTGCCTAGGTGGAAATTAGGCTCCCGACTCTAAAGCCTCCCTTCTGTTGTGTATAATTGTCTGAACTCCTCAGGCGGGATTCCAACCATCTGGCGACCCCTTGGAGCGGCCTCTCCTTTGAAGTCCTATTCTTCCGGAGCTGTAAACAAAACCTGCTTCCTGTTCTGTTCTTACATCCTACTGCTGCAGTCCCGTCATCGGGGCTGGGACTCCTCCAGGTTAGTGGCTGCTGTTGCATCTTCCTCCTTCTCGTTCTCTGTCTGATCTTTGTTTCTTCTCATTAATCTCCCCCAATGGGTCCTAGTCCCATTACGAACCCTATGGAGCTTTATCATAAGTACCTTCTTTTTCTGGGTATTTTCTTCCTCTCCCTTTAATGTGGTCGATAGCCTCTTTCTGGGTCTGCTTTGCCCTTTCTTGTTGTTGGAGAGATGCCCCGCCTTCACCCTATGCTTCCTTCTCCTCTCTCTCTTCACCCTTCTCCTTATGTCTCCCTCGTCCTCGGTGGGGTGTCTGGGGCCACATGTTTCCTTCCCCGAGGAGGGATCCTGTTTGCTTCTTTTCCCTCTTCGCTTCTCACATCCTTCATCCTGTACCTTCCCGAATTTAGGTTGGTGAGCTCCCCCCTGAGCCGTTCGGGACTGTGCTCCCTTTGGGGATAGACTGTACTTCTCCTCTCTACTCTCCCAGAGGCTCCGATATTCGTTGTCTGTGTGGAGGAGCATTTTTCACGCTTAGTTTCTCCAACTCCTCGGGCTCCATCCTGGCTTACTCGGATTGTTCCCTGGGTGGGATTTATGTCTATATCTCTTGTTGCTCTACGGATTTTACTGCTCCCTCATCCCTTCCTCTCACCCGTCCTCGTGAGTGCCTGTTTACTCGGAAGCAGGGGGACCGGTGGTTTTAAACCTTTATCCTACTTTTGCCTCTTTTGACGTTCTTTCTTCCTCATGACTGCTGGGCTGTCTGGGGAATTTTGCTTCTCTTCTGCGGCGATGCTGAGACACTTGTGGGAGTCATGCCGTTCTCGACAGGTTGCTGTTCCTGACCCTTTCCTTCCTCTCAAACTCCCTAAAATATCTAGGGCCTCGAGCCACATTTAGCTCTTAGCTCTCTTCTCCTTCTGCTTGTGCTGAGTCACCCACTGGTGCCTGTCAGACAAATCGGCTGATTATGCTTCCACTGATCGAGAGTTGATTCTTGCTTGTTCACTAAGTTCTCTGTTAGTCCTCATCCTCGGAACCTGGCTCCTTGGTCCTGGGACTTGGGGACTCGGCAATGAGTGTTTATTGGTTTCTAGCTGCTGTTCCTGATTCCTTCGTATGCTAGTTGCGTGTTTGGTCTTCGCTAACCTCCTCAGACTTGTTCTCTCCTTATCCTTTAGAGCTCCTGTTGTCCTTGCTTTTTTTTTGTCTGTTCCTGGTGGGATTCTAGTGTTGCCTCAGCTTGGAGTTGAGACTTATCGGTCTTGCTTTGGGTTGACTATGGTCTCATCTGTGATATTCATCCTTCCGGTTAATTGTTTGCTTTCGCCTCTTAGAGATGCCTGTTGATTTGATTGGGTGCCGTCTGGGGGATGCTTTTGGGGTTGTTCATTCCCACGATTTTGTTGGTGTGATGACCCCTTGCCCAGCTGTTGAGGGTGTACTTGCTCCTTTGTGGCCAATTTTTATCTGCTTTTTTCGTCGTCTGAATGGGTACTGAACCTTCACCCGTTGTTACTCCCCCGGCCCTGGCTTAGTCATTCTGGTGCCTCTTCGTTCCTAGGGGGTACGGGGTTTCGGTGTGTAAACGCAGCTGCTGTTTGGGCAGTTGAAACCCTACCTCCAGATTTGGAGTTCCTGTTGTGACTCTCCTCTTTGATCTTTCGCTTCGACATAGGCTTCTTGGTTGACTTTAGAGCTAATTTTGTCTGCTGGTTTCGCCTTTTTTGTTTGCCTCTATCCCATAGGAGCTGCTTAACCCTCTTCCAGAAAAAAATCTGCTGTTCCTGGAACCCTCTAGAATCTTTTGGTTTGTTCTTTTTCGTGTCCACTTGAAGCGCCCTTATTCTTCTTTTTATAGACTCCGGCAGGGCGGATCCGCCTTTTAAGTGGTTTTCGGCTGTCTTTTCACATCCTCTCCCTCCTCCTGCTACTACTCCTTCGTTCGTTTCCGTGGGGAGAAACGATACACTGCGCCTGCCTCTGCTGTTTTCTGTCATGAACTGTTCTCGTGTTTGTTATGGCAAGGGTCGGTGTGCCCTGGAGCCTCCTTGCGTCCAGGCAGGATTTCGCCTGGTAACTCCCAATTATTTCTTCTGACTGTCCTGCCGCTTTGGATAGGGATATTTTTCCTTGCTCTTGTTTCTTTTGTTTGCCTGTACAGGGACTTTCGGTTGTATTCGTGCCTTGTTGGACTAAATTCACTTCTACTTCGCTCTTCTGGTCCTGACTAGCCTGTTATCCTCTTCTTGAGTTTGGCGTTTCCTCTTCTGTATTTGCCTTATTGATTTTCCCTCTTCTCTTCCCATCCCTTTAAAACCCATACCCCAGGCGCGCGGAGTCCCTAAGTTCTAAGAGCCTTTTTCTTTTGCTGTTTTGGGCTCCGGCTCAGATTCTTCGGCTTCTCCTGTTACTCCCTACGAGGTGATTTGTTGGAGTTTGGTCCTTCTTCTTTTTGTTCGGGTTTTTTTGAGATGTCTTGTCTCAAGAAACGGGGGGTTAGGACATCAATTCTGCTTCTTTCCGTTTAGGTCCTGATTGCCTCCGGCAGCTGTAGCTTTCGGGATATTCGAGCCCTTGGCATCCTCCACTGTTTCTTTTTGACGGGATGTGGTATATTTAAACATCCTGGAATTTTTTGGTGTTATCTTTCCCTTGTGGTTCTTGTTCCTTTGCTTGGAGTTGTGATGTTGTCTGGACCCGAAGTTGTCCCTGATGGACCTCAGATAATCACCTGGGTAGTTCCTCTATTGGATTCGTGGCGCGCCGTTTCCTCTGTCTGGGGGGAGGGCGTCTCTTGGGTGTTTTTTAGATGGATTAGAGTTCATTTTCTGGAGTGGGGAACTTGCGTGATCTGTCCTTATCGCCTGGACTTGTCCCTTTGCAGTTTTGCTCTATCCTAAGTTAGTTTCTATTGATTCTTCCCCTTAGTCGATACATTGGTGATCTCTTTCTGGGCTTCGTTTGTTAATCTTAAACACCTCAGACATACTCTATCTTTCAGCTCCTGGCCAGAATTTATTTTGGATGCTTCTCCCTTTTTCGCCTTTTCGTCTGGGGCGCCTGTTATTTGTCTAGCTTCGGCTCCTATCTGACTCTTCCTCCTTCAGTTTTGTTAGGGATTTGGTTTCACATGTCGTGGTTTTGGACTTTATTTTAGTCGTTATATTGAGAATTCTGTAGGTTCTGACTTTATTAACGATCTTCACCTAGGGGGGACAATCTCAGAATCCGTCGTTTGAAGGGGGGGACCCTTTTCGGTTTTTTATGCATTGGTCAGAACCGTGATCTGTTTACTGGGAGGTTTTGTTCAATTCTAACTCTGAGTAATTTCTTTGTGGGTCTCTTCCTATTTAGTTAGACATGTTCGGTGAGCTCCGGGGGGGACGCTTTTTGTCTGCTTTCATACTTTTGTTTGGGGGAGCCTTTTTCTTGAGGAGCTTTCGTCGGGAGAGTCGGGTAGTTTGGTGGGTGTTGAACCTCTCATCTTTTCCTTTATCTATCTTTTATTATCTCATCTCTGTTATATGGGATCTGTTCTGGGGAAATGACTTTCGCTTGGAGGTGTCTTCCTTCTCCTACGGCTGCTTTTTTTGGGTACTGCCCATCTCTCTAGGTTGTCTATCTTCACCTTCCGTTGGGCGCTATTTTTGGCTATTATCCTTTGTTATTTGGATTTCCATGCCCTTAATGTTCTTGATTTTTCTGCAAATCTTATGCCTTAGACCTTTTCCGCCTTGGGGTTTTTTGGGGGTGTGCCTCTTTAGTTGTATCATTCGTTCCTCCTGATTGTCTCTTAGCTCAGGGTTTTTAGAGAATTTGGCGCCTAATTCTGTTTGGATTTTGTCTTCTGGATATGTGATTAAACTTGAACCTGCGCGACGGATGGTTGGGGATTTAGTTGTTTTTGGGGGGAGGCTTCGTATCGTCCTTTCAATGCCATAGTTAGGTTGCTCTCTGGGTCTGGGCCATTGTCATGGGTGGAGATTTGGCCGAAGTTTTGTTTTTGCAGTGGTGATGGCTCGAGCTGATTTGGACAGGGAAGTCGTTGTTAGAGAGTCTTCCTGTTTCTTGGGCCCCCACTAGTTCTACTCTTCTCAGATATTAGTCTTCCTTCTCAGACTCTCGAGAGAGAGTTGATCTGTATCTCTGTATACTTAGTTGCTCATTCCCTTATTTTGTCCTTGTTTTCCTATTCCCTTCGGACTCGTCCTTTTTTTGTTAGTGGGGTAGTTACGGGACTTGACTGCCTATTTCTTGGTTTTTTGGGGTTCTCTTTTGATTGAACGTTTGGATAATTAACGGAATTTTGCTTCATTTGGATGACATTAGAACGTGAAAAATACTTCTCTTGATTATAACTCCTAATATTAGGACTGTCATCTTATCTGAGTCCGCTGTTATTAGTGAATTTACTTAAAATGATTCATCTTGTCATTCCGGAGGGAAAGATCTACTGCGGCTGACGAATGCAAATGAGCAGATAAAATAAAATCATTATCTTAATTTACGCTCATTCTTTCAAAAAAACATAACTTTTGGAGTCCTCTAGGCGTTTCTGGGGTTTTCATACTTACTGGGCCCCCCCTGTGATGTGTTCTCAGTTAACTTCGTTTCTTTATTCCTTAATTAACGTTTGGTAGGTTTAGAGCTGACCTCAACTTTACTAATATGATATAGTGGGGTTTTGTTAACACTAGTTTTGGACTGCCCGTGTCTTGTGTTTTTCTGCTTGTTATTTATAATGATTCACACAGACAGAAAATAAGGTGTTCAGACTATATAGAGATTAAGACGTCGTATTGTTGAGATAGTCCCCTAGAGATCCGAGGATGTCAAACTATTTCCAGATTTTTGGATTGATTTTTCCTTGGGTCTATGGCTCATAGATGGAGAAAGTGATTTCTTAATCGGATTATCCTCGAATGATAGAGTTTCTCAATGATGCCCTGAGCTGGTTGGTTAAAGAGATGGTTTGGCTTCGAAGAAATGATTAAACCAGTTTTTAGGGTTTCCTCTTGATGTCTATCTTCGTCCTCAGAATTATTATATATATTGGTCTTCTTACGATTTGGATCAGATCTGCTTCTGGGTTTTTCCTTGCTCCATCCAGGCTAGCATAAGGCCTACTGGAGATTACTGCGGATTTTTGGCTGGTCTATGAAGTTGTTCGTTGGGGTTGCCTGTATTATCTCTCTTCTGTCCTTTTAACGTAATCTCTTCTGTCAAAATATTCCTCTCCTGGCTCAGAAGACTCAGTCATTTTAGTCAACATAAAGTCGAAAATTCTGCTCCGGATTTGGTGTTACTCATCCGGTAACGCTCGTTCTCCCGCTTAGGAAATTCTTCTTAGGTTGGAGAAATAAGTTGGGGAGTTAAATATACAATAGGACGGGAGATCTGTAACCTGTTTTTGTTTTGGGGCTAAGGAGAACTAAAGATACGTTTTTGACAGTGTTCATTAATGGACAAACACTTATTCATTCCATTAGTTAAGCTTTTTTTAAAGAAAACATAAAAGGAACAAGATTGTTCCTCTGAAAATCTCTCAATACGATGATTTCCTAAAGAAGCATTTCCTTTAAGTAATTATAGAGTGAGAATGAGTCCTGAAAACATGAATTGTATAGTGGCATACTGTTTTGCCGATCTCCTGTTATTGGAGTTTTGAATAGTTAGAAACGATGATCCGGAAGTTGCTTCCCTCTTGAGGGCATCCTCTGCCCTTCCCGGTTCTCTTTTTGAGAGAGGACAGGGCTTTAATATTAAACAGGGCTTGATCATCCTATGGTCAAGTTTTTCTTATAAGCAGGTCCATAAATTACAGACTTTATGGGACTTTATGAATTCCACATAAATCACCATCATTAGATTTAGAATTTCTGGAATTTAGTTTTTTATCTGACCCTCCTTTTTTTAGATATTCAACTGCAGTCATTCGGAGGGAAATTCTTCGTCAGTTTTCTTGTTCGATGGTGTGTTCCTTTGGGTGGAAGCAGGTTGGACAAGATTGTTAAAACATTGTTGTTTGAAAGGTCCCTTAAATTTCACCTATAAGGAGGTTATTGATCTGTTATACCCAGAGACTCCTTTTTTCAAATAAACATCGAAAAATAAGGTAGACCTGATCCAGAGTAAGAACAAAATAAGTAATTTTGAGAGGCTCGTGATCACTCCTTTAAGAGATTTTTAGCTCATATATTCTTCTAGTAGAAACATGTAAGAAGCGACAACGAGAATTTTAACTAAGCAGGAGCGAAAAAGGAATCTCCTCTATTTAAGGCCAGGGGAGGTTGCTCCTTGGTGTTCATGGGTTCCAGAATGTCTTGTTGTTTTCTTTTCATACTCAGTTGAGCATTCATGAGTTAGAGCAGAATTGGATTCAGTGAGAAAACCCATAGTATCTTAATCTAATTCCTTGGGGAGACATAATTATACTTACAAGATGATTATTACTTCCTCGACGAGGGTCTTATATATATAACTTAGGTTGGATTGGTTATCTTAGGATTAACTGCCTTAAGATACCTTGAAGCGCTCTAAATCACTTCCAAATACATCGTAGTAGTTCTTAAACTCTTTAAATAGTTAGTAAAGAATATTTCTTAAAGAATTTCCACAAAGGCAAAATTCTTAACTAAAACAGATGCAGTTACATAAATAAATTAAGACATTATAGAATATATTTTTAGCCAATATTAAGAAAAGAAAAATAAAGAAAGGACATCATAGAGACTGTAGAAAATCCTTCTGTTTGGTCACAGTGCATGCCTCCTGAGAGATTTAGGAGATAAGACGATTTTTATGCCTCGTCTTTAAGTAGAATGACATGTTTCGGACTTATATGAACCCTTTTTCTTACCTACAATAGATTCCTGCAGTTATTTCGGCTTTCCTAAGCTTGAAAAATACCAGAGATAAACGCTTCAGCAAATATTTCTTGGTCCATTTGATGCGAGGACCTTCTTTAAAATAAATTCTTCACCAAGGGGGCATATAC